AATTGATATGAATATTCATCTGAATGTGTAGAAATTGTAGAAGCCTCATCTATCAATTGGCTATTATTAGCATATAATAGCTGCAATAAAAGACTTTACACCCACTGTCTGAATCAATACTAACTTGGATCTGAATCAGTTTCTCAGCGTGGCTACCATCCACACAGCATGCCACGCAAGCAACGTGTAGATAACAAGTAATGTACATATGGGGTCACAAAATGGTCACAGAGATACAAGAAGTAAAGTATTTCAATGCTAAATGTAGACTTGTGTTTTGCATTATAGAGCTGTTTTATAACAACGACCAAAAAGATATTATAGGTTATTGATTCCCCAAGCTACACGTAAACTACACCTACAAATAAACAAATAAAGTTACACTGACCCTAATTCGCCAGCATATATAGACTAATATCTAATATAATCTATATAAAACCTGTCTTACCTCTTTTGAGAAAGCCATTCCCATGCACCTCTACGTGTTGTTTCTTACGCTTGAGCCGTTTCATGACTTCTCACAGTTAAAAATAAAAAAAACAACATTTATACTTCTTCCTGATTCGAATAATAAATAAAAAATGATGTGATATTTCCCCCAAACTGACTGTCTGGACGAAAACGTTTACCTAAACAGCTGTATCCGGTAAGATCAATATAACTTGGTTTTAGCCTGCAATTCTCTGATTGGTCCGTAAAAACACGTGACACAAAATCTAAATCTGATTGGCTGAGTTTTAGTGCGATGCAACCTAACTCAAGTGTAGTTTTTTATTATTTTGTTATTTTTTTTATGTTGTCTGTTTTGTTAAATTAAAGGAAACTGTTCCCATATTTTTCATACATATATATATATATATAAGTCAATAAAGTAAACAATTACAATTAATAACAGTTTTTAATTTTATTTTTAGATAGAATTTTTTGGTAGGTTTATTCAAAACACAGTAAAAAGGCACGATGATTGTTATAAATAGTATTGGTTAAAAAATAAGAGTAGTATTAACGATAACTTAATTGGCAGCTAATTGTAAGACGCAAGGGCAAACCTGGCAACCCGACGGCAGCACCTTGAGCAGCTGTAATAAACCATGGTAAATACGCCCACATCTTTATCGCCACATCTACAGGACTTGAGTCAGGCTCTGCTGCTGCACCGAGTCAAGTCCTCCGCGTGTCTTTCATTCATACGGGGACCACTGAGACACCACATCTCCGCTGCGATGCCAGGGAGCTGAGGCAAATACGTGACTCAAGCCGCCGAGATGAGCGACACAGCCGAAATAACAACCACCGGGCCCGTAACCCGCAGGAGAAGGACGACCGTAGCGGGCAATGGCAAGCAGGCGAACGGGGGTAAGTGGCACGAAGCCGGGGACAAGCCTCCGCAGAGAGCCGCCAAAGGGAAGATGGAGCAGGTGTCAAAAAGGACGAATCAAAACAACGCGAAACTGGACAGGGACATGGAGACAAGAGGACAACAGCATCAGCAGTTCTCAGACAGCACCAAGAAAGAGAAAAGTGAGGTGGAAGAAATCGATGAAAAACTCAGGTAAACGTGGTCACCTGCGCGCCTTCACTCTCAAATCAATTTATAGGCTAATCAGTAAACACATCAGTGGAGTCCTTCTGTATCCTACTTCCTTATGCAGATAATAGAAGCTAAAATTTAATTCAGAGGATGTTGATTTAAGGAAAAATCTTTTAAACACACATTTTTTACCTAGGCCTGTATTTCCATAACATGTAGGCTACTTATTATTATGTGTGGGGTCCTGTTTTGTTTAGATACCGTCTGTCTTTGCTCAATTAGTAAGTCTTTTTTTTAATTTTTTTATCATTTATCAGTTATTAATTATTCATCAGACCTCTATCAGTCATTATTTTAAAGTTGGAGCCTAATTCTCACAGTATATAAAATAAATAAAATAAAGTGTTTCAGACTTATTCTATTTATATGGACCTGCTGTAGTGAATAACTTTTGTAAACAATTTGGATTGTCAAGTCAATTTAAAGCAAATTATTTAAATATTGAATTTTGATTTAGGAAGCCAAAGTTGATATTGCGTAAGGATATTGACAGCCAGTCCAGTGACACTCCCACTTTACTGGAATAAGTAAGAATTGTATTATTATAATTTGTAGTTAAATTAACAGGGCAGGTCATGGCAGGTCTCTGAAAGCATACCTAAAGAATGATACAACTTTTTATGTAGTTAAATGGTTAGTGTGTACATGTTGCACAGTCCTGGTTTCTTTTACATTACGTTTCCTTATGCGTTATCAAGTTACTTCTCTGCCTCCCACCCTTACTGCCCTGCGTCACTGTCTGTCACTGTACTACCACAGTTTTCACAATAGTTTATCACTGCACCTTTTACCCATTTACCCAATAACTTTGCCCTTGGCCGTAACTGTGACCAAACATGAAATAAGTCATCGAAATTGAGTAATCGCCTTATGTCACTTTCGAAGAATTGGCTTGTAGAGATGAATGGCCTTCTTTCAACACACTTGCAGAAGCATGAAATTTGAATTGCAAATAGAGGCTTGTGAGGTTTCAAGACAATCAAATTAAAAGTCCTCTTGAGGGCGATAAGAATAATATAGATATTGTGTTTTGTTTCAGTTGTCACACGCTGCAGGAGTCTCTGTTGAGCTCAGCCAGTGGCTACAGTAACTACAGGGGAATCCTAAACTGGTGTGTTGTTATGTTGGTGAGTAAAGACAATCAAAATCCTGTGTCATGTGAGTGGTTTTCCCTGTGTCATGTGTCACTTCTAACTCTTAACCACAATTTCACAGTATAAACCAGAACAATATGGTACAAATTTCTCAAATGTATTATAAAATGTACATGTATATTCAACTATATAATTGATTCAACTCAACTGTATAAGTGACACTGACAAATGACTCTTTTTCTGTCATTATTACTGTTTTTAGCATCTGCAAAGCCCAGCACAGTCACAGTTTAAACTTCAAATATATATTAATTATTAACATATTAATTATTAAAATATTACCACGAACAATAAGTTGGCTAAAGGGTAACTCTAAGCTTGGGACCAATGCAAAAGTCAGGCTTTTTTTTTTTTTTTTTTTTTTTTATCTAAAACTGCATTCCCTGATCACACAATATTCTTACCCTTATTTTACAAAATCTTGTAATTCAAAACAATTATAAGTGACACTTTTAAAAGTAATTATTCTGTGAGTTCAAGTATTACACAAAATGAAAGTAAATACTTGTCTTTCTTCGTCATTGTTTACTTGAGGAAGTTGTGCACAGCAAAATTAAATTCAGGGCCGTATATGGAAAGCCTGTTGAATATTCAAACTGATGCAAACTGATTTCTCTTTTTCCTATGTTAGATCAGTTAATTATAAGTTAGTGAGGTACTGGCTTTATTCCCAGATGTGTCACAGTTTGCCATCTGCAGCTGGGGTTTTTTAAGGACAAGTTTGCCTTTTTAAGAAACTGCACTTACTTTGGTCGAGAGTTTATGCACTATTAACACAAATCCTGTTATAATAAATCTTGCTACGGTGCAAAATAAGTCTTCTGGCCCATATAAGTGACAAATTATTCTCTCTTTTAAAGTTTCAAACACAGCAACTGCCACTTCTGCCTCTTCCTCCCAGATGGGACAGGAGGCCGCTCTTAATTCAGAGTGTGCAAAAAGGGGCTCTGGATTAGTTTATAAGAGGATTAACACAAAATTTTAGCTTTTTCCTCAAATGCTAGTTTAGGTCATGAAACTTATTGCTTGGTTTGTAATGGCTGCCCTATTTAAAATGTGTCTTGCAGTGATTCATAGTTTGTTTATATGTAAAAGTTATGCTTCTTAGGGATGTGGTTACCAGATGCCTTTTTATCTTTGCATCAGATTGAGGAAGCAGTTTTGGGCAGGGTTCAATAAGAGGAAAATACATGCTTGTAACTTTGTATTGTAGATTACTGTTTGTAATTTCAGTTTTGGGTTTGTGACTGCATTGGGTTTTTCAGTTTATGAGACATTCATGAATTTCCTTTATGTTATAAAATCCTGTATACTGGCCTTTTTAATTTATCATAGGACTAATAATCAGAGCTTGGGTTTTGCTAGATAAAAAAGTGTGAAATAATGTTTGATTGAAAGTTGGATATCAATTGATAAGCAAACAGTCTGTTATGCTGTTTTCTAATCTGTTATAATGTTGTTTCCACATCAAAAACAGACCTGGAGTTGTGTTTTGTTTCATTCACACATGTTGAACACGCAAAAGCTGCATATTTAGACTGAGTTCTTCACCTTGTAATGTCATGCGGTATACAGGAAGTGCTCCACTGTGTTTTTAAACTAATACACTTTCACTAGAATCATTTGGATAATTTCAGATCTGGCATTGCTCTATTGCTTTCTCTTTAATAAAAGGTAAAAGGTAGCTTTTAACTTTACAAGACAGAACAGAGCATTTCGAGCTTTGGAAATGTAGTCAGACTAATAATAAAGGGTTACCGAAACATGTGTGAATGAAACAAAACACAACTTGGGGTATGTTTTGAGGAAGTAACTACATTATAACATGGCTTAAAGCTGGCTCAAGAATGCATTTTGTGTAAAATAAGACCTTTAAACAGTATTGGATGCAATGCTTGTTATACATTTAGGTTCTAACTAGTTCTAGACCAATTAAATACTTGTCCACCCAATACAAACTCCTACATAATACAAATACATGTAGACCTGTATACTTACCCACCTAAAGTTTCAGCCTGCCCTCACAAATTTAGCAGTCTTGAACTGGGCCTGTCATTTATTATATTTTCTTGTGAAAGACGAGGGTCATAACCTGATTATCTTGTTCTATCAGAAAAATACCATGACTATTATCTAAAATGTAGAATTGTCATTGTTTTTCTGCATCTCTCTGTCACATATTTTTCTTGGGTTTGACACAGACTTTGAGCTTTATTACACAATATAGCGATAAACACCGCTGTAAATTTGATCGCTATCACAACAAAAGAGCTGGATGTTCTTTATTGCCAATCTCATTACATGCACATTTGTTCATTATTGTAACTGAATTAAAAAATTAAATGCATTTTCTCCTCTGGGCTATTGTTTTTTTAGGTGCTGAGTAATGCACGGCTGTTTTTGGAGAACATCATTAAGTGAGTAACAAAAGGATTCACAATATTCACCGACAAACACATACACATCACCACTTAGCTGTCATTCTTATGGTAGAAATATAATAGAATATTTAAGCTTTTGTTTGTCCATTGGGGCCACTGTACAGGCATTTTTTTCTCAATGTAAACTTAATGCACAACGCACATGTCTCTTCACTTTGGATTTATTGTTCAAAGCTTTATCTACATTCAGATAACGGTTCAATGATTCATCTTGTCTTTTTTTAGATATGGGATCCTGGTCGACCCGATTCAAGTGGTGTCGCTGTTCTTGAAGGACCCTTATAGTTGGCCGTCAGCATGCCTCATTATAGGTATGATATGTGAATTATTAGGTCTGTTAAAGTAGGGGTGTAACAGTAACCGAAATATCATGATATCGTTTGTCAAAGGTTTCACAATAAAACCGTGGACCATCACAAGATCAATTAAGTCTCTTTGCTTAGATTAATAGTTGTTGTGTGGAAATAGCTAAAAAAACAAAAAGAAGAGGGGACTACATGGATCATGATCCTTTGCTCCATTTCTGTGCAGACTACATGAAGAAATAACTGTTATAAGCACTTTTAAATCTTAGTTCTTTGGGTCAAATCTTGTCAAGGCATTTTAAAAGGAAAAAGTAGTGTGTACACAGTTTTGTTAACCTCCACAAAATATCACAATAAATATCATATTGTTAGATGCATATGGAGAAAATATTATACCGTTACATCCCTGGTTAAGACACTGTTGGTCTATTATCTATTATTTATCTGTTATTTTGTATTTATACACTGCAACTTTACTGTGTGAAACCAAATTAAATAGGTTCCTGTGCTCTGTGTTTTTTTACTTCTCTTGTCGACTGTGGTAGCTCATTTCCTCATTGGTTTTAACAGACATCACCACATTATCCCTGTTTTAGTTTCCCTTCACTGGCTCCCCGTGTGCTTTAAAAGTGATCAGTAAAATTAATTCTAAAGTTACATTTCAGAACTTTAATCCCTGTACGAGCCCTCCTCCTGCAGCCACAGATCCTCAGGCAGGTCCCTGTAGCTGTTCCAAAGTCCAGGCTCCAGAGGAAAGGTGATCGAGCCTTTTTAGTTCAGGCGCCTTGGCTTTGGAATGACCTGCCTAAGGAAAAAAGGCTCACACCATCAGTATCACCTTTTAAATCACTTCGTAAAACCCATTTTTATCAGTTGGCCTGCCTTTAACTGGTTTTAGCTTGACCTTATTTACCTTATTTATTTTTATTCTATATTTTATGTGTTACAATTAATGACATTTTTTGCATCATCATTGTCTGGTTTTGTATGCCTTCTGTATGCTATTGTTATGCTTTTGTATTGTTCTTTGCGACTTGTACAGCACTTTGTAAACCTTGTTTATAAAAGTGTTTATAAGTAAAGATTTTTATTTATTATGTTACGATGCCACCCTAAACTAATCTATGGAATCATGTATTCATTTATTTGGCAAAGTAAAGGTTTATATTTGACCGTATCCAATGAACTATTGATACTTTGCAGTGACAATCACGTTGGGGGTGTTGTACATGTATCTGCACTGGTGGAATGTTCAGTACTTCCTGTGGTGATACAAAGCACACATTAGCAAACACAGACAAAAGACTTTTAAGAAGGAAGAAGAAAAACACACACATTTTCAGGAGCCTGTATCAATACGAGCATTCATGGTCCTGTTTAGGTGTTTGATTTAGTTGATTTTTGTGTTCTGACTAACTCAAAAACTGCTGGCTAATGCTATGTTGGCTTGTGTCTGTAATTTCATGTGTGAGAGACTTGTTTAACAGCACGAATCAGATCATCTGATGGCGTTCCAGCTAAATCAGCTCTTTCTGATCAGATTGTAAAATAAAGATCAGATTAAAGTCTTAACAGAGCTTCACACCCCCAGGAAATGTTGATAACATCAGCTGCAAAGTATCATCCATTCACTTGCACATTATTACAAATTCTAACTTTATATATGAGCTATACAAATATATTTTTAAGTACTGGACTAGATGAATGCTTCATTGTGATGTATTCAATAACTACTACATTGGGTCCATAACAACAGGATTTTTATCAGAGTTTAAAATCTTTTCTCTTTTTCAGTGTCCAATGTGTTTATTTTGGCGACCTTGTACATTGAGAGGCGTTTGGCTGTGGTAAGTGTTGATCCATTTCCAACTGAACTCTGCCTTTTTACGGTCAGGCTTGGTTAAAACAAGCCAGTGCAAGAAATATTAGTCAGTTATTTGCCGGTAAAAACATTGGGTTAACATTTGTTACTCTGTTTTTTTTGTTTTTTTGTTTTTTACAGAAACAATTTTACAATCTTACTACTAATATATGATAACCTGTGTTCACGCATCTTTAATATAACATTCTTGTGTTCTGTTTTAGGGCACAATTTCAGAAATCACAGGACGAATACTGCACATGTTTAACCTGACAGCTATTTTGGTGTTTCCAGCAACAACAGTCTTGAGTCTCACCTCTATAACTCCAGGTACATAAATAAATACACTTTATTTCACCGTATTATCACAAACTGGATTATGTATTATTATCTCAAACCAGATTAGCAGGCTGAAGAAATACATGTGCTTATGTTTATGTGTGTTTAGTGGGTGGAGTGCTGGCCCTCGGCATCTACACTATTCTCTTCCTAAAGCTGTACTCATACCAGGACACAAACAGATGGAATAGAGAGAGCAGACTGGCCAATGCCAAAAGACTCAGAAGGTCTCATTCATGTGAGTATTTTAAAACAGACCAACACTGAAGGAATACACTTGGAATTTAAAGCTATTAAACAGCCTGACCAGAAATATTAAGATATACATTGCGATATATTCAAAGGTGCACTGTGTAACTTTTCAGAACGAGCATCTGCCCCATGCCTCTCTATAGAGAAGTTATTTCTTCTCCTGTAATGTTCCACAGTATGGCATTAAGCATATTTACATGTAGACAGGTGAAGCCACAATTCAAAGTTAGAAGTCAGATCTATGGCAAAAAAAATAAATAAAATGCAATGCCATACTGTGCAACATACCAGGAAAAGCATTAATCTCTCGATGGAGACAAGCAGGCGGCAAGCAGAAAAGTTAAATCTGGCACCTTAAATAGCTTAATTTGTTTTTTTTTTTTGTGTGAGAGAGAGTAAATGCAATAGCTAGGCTTCTTTATAATCTATTAATATTTTTCCAGGTCCTTCTGTGGCCCAGTCCAATGGTTCTGCTGTGCACAGTACAGTCTCCTATCCTGGAAATCTCACACATAGAGGTAAAATATATGTAATTATAAAAAACGTTAAATTAATTAGCCTACTAAATATGTTGTGTTTCTTTCTAGATATGTATTATTTTGTATTTGTCCCGACTCTTTGCTATCAGCTCAACTTCCCACGATCACCACGGATACGGAAAAGATTTCTCTTGAGGAGACTTTTTGAAATGGTACAAAGGATTCAGTGCATAAACTTTGCACTTTGGATGGTTTGATTATAATTAACATCTTACTTTTCATTTAGCTATTTCTTATGCAGCTTTTGGTGGGATTAATACAGCAAGTATGTAGAAATATTAAAAACAAAACAAAACTTTTATATTAAAGTACGCCCTTAACATTGACTTGTACATTTTTTTCAGTGGATGGTTCCAACTGTACAAAATTCTATGAAACCATTTAAGGTGAACATTTTATTTTGAAAGTTTCAGGTTTTTAATTATATAGTCTGATATTTGTCTAATGTAGTTAATTGTTAATATTTTTTATAGGAAATGGACTTTTCTCGAATTGTGGAACGATTGCTTAAGTTAGCGGTAAGTATCACAGTACAAATTATTATTATTTAGCACACAATCTGTTCAGCCATCTGAATGATCCTCTCTTGTTACAGGTCCCAAACCATTTGATATGGTTGATCTTCTTCTACTGGTTTTTCCACTCCACTCTGAATTTTGTGGCTGAGCTGCTGCAGTTTGGGGACCGGGAGTTTTACAGAGACTGGTGGTAAACACATTTATTAACATACTCAAGCCTTTGGTTAATCTGAGTCAAATTCTGAGGATTTTCTTATTAGCAAGGCTTACTGCCAGACTGTATTTCTTTTACAAATCCTCAAAACAATCTATTACAAGGACCTCCTTCATTATTGCAGACAAGTACTTTACATAATTGGCTCTGGTAATATGGACCAAGAAGAAGGCATATTTTATGGAATAGGACGGGGACTGTCGTTTTTGAGGAAATTACCTGAACTTTTACCCAGTGTTCAAATGTATTACATGAACCCTGCAGTGATGTAACATTGTGTAGTGCATTAGCCTTATATAGACATTAAAAATGCATGTGTTTCATTTCAGGAACTCTGAGACTGTAACATATTTCTGGGCCAACTGGAACATCCCAGTTCACAAGTGGTGCCTCAGGTATGATACGAAGTTTGAGTTCAGCCTCATATTTGACAAATGTAATGTTAAGCACACAACATGCTATTTTGCAGACACTTTTATAAGCCAATTATGAAGAAAGGAGTGAATAAGTTTTTGGCTCAAACTGCAGTCTTTCTTTTGTCTGCTTTCTTCCATGAGGTAAATAATCTACTCTCCCATTGCCCATGTGACCTTCAGCAATGAGCAGAAATATCAAAGTTCGAACTTTATCCTTTATGGACCTTTGTTTTTGGACATAATATAAAATACACTTTACAAGTATTCATTTAGACCGTAAGGGTAGATCGACACCTATACATATTGGCATTAAGACCAAGAGAAAGTTTGTACACAACGCAAAGTACTTCATTAATAACAGTTAACTTATTGTAATAATACCTTTGTCCTTCTTTAGTACTTGGTAAGTATCCCACTGAAGATGTTCAGATTATGGGCCTTTATGGGGATGATGGCTCAGGTAAGACTGTAAATTGTTATTGTTAATCATTGTAGACATTATACAAACCTCATGTTTATTGTGAATTGTGCAGGTTCCTCTTGCCTGGTTCGTGGGTCGTTACCTGAATGGTATCTATGGAAACGCAGCTGTCTGGATCTCGCTTATCATTGGTCAGCCCGTCGCAGTGCTGATGTACGTTCATGACTATTATGTCACTCACTATGGAGGCCCCACATGATAAAGACCAAACACATTATCAACTACTGTATCAGAAGTCCACAGCAATGAAGTCTAATGAACCTGCCGCACACTTTTGGGAGAAAAGTGTTATTTGCACATTGAAGGATCACTTCTTAATAGAAAGTGACTTGATTGTACTTCGCCAGTAACTTTCAGTGGCCTGTTTCCTGCATCTTTAAACATGGGCCAAATAAAAAAATATATATATTGCTCCTTTCTTTACAATTTATACAACATAAATGCAATCATTTAAAATACATATTTATATAGTATTTAGTCAAATGAGACTATGCACTGCCACGGAACTATATTCACATAGAAACCCAGTGTTTTGAAAGCCTTTTGGCCAACATAAGATGTCTCTTTTCTATATTAAAATAGTAGACTGTATTGTGTAAATAATACATTTCAAGTGCATCACTACTTTAGTAATTAAGTAAATAAAATATAAAAACTGCAAATTGAGATGCAGTATTTGTAAATAGATGATGAACAAACAGGCAGCCTCATTCCTGTGCTCATCAAATGCAGCATCAATGCAAGCTTTGTAAGCTGGTGTAGCAATCATTGTAGATCTTGGCTTTGTGTTTTTTTTTTTTTTTTTTTTTGCATAATATTTCAGTTTTACATTGTATATTATGTGCCATAATAAGAAAGTTTGTGATTTGTTTTTGCACTATTCATATGCAGGCACTCACACATTGTAATGACCAGAAGGCATTTAAATTATGATTTACAATCAATAAGTTCTTGAAGTAATATTTTTGTAGACGTTTTTGAGAATGTGTATGTTAATTTAAGTGAAGACAAAAGCTGTTTAGGAGGAAGGAGTCATGTAGTTTTCTTTCATGACATTCAAGTGCTCTTGGAGTTGATTATATTGTTTTCGTACTTAACTTGAAGTGCCTGCTGGAAATAGTTTTTGAATAAATATTGGACCAACAGAAACTACTAAGAGGCAGTGCATGTAACTAGTACAAATTTAAATAAATGGCATAACAGGAATACGGGGGAGTCTGCTGCTATACCTTTACAAAAGCATGCTTTTTTTTTTTTTTGGTTTTGCCTTTTTGATAGTTTAAATAATGTAAGTTTATTTGTACTAATAATAATAGTAATAATGTCTCTTCCTATGTACACAAATACGAGGTAGATTATTTATATGATTTGACATTGTATGGAAGTTTTGTTCAGTACTTCTGGTGCATCTGCTCTGCATAAAATCCAAAGATGTTTACTTAATGAAATAAAGTTATAATAACCAATGTGTCTACAAAATAATTTTTATTGTGAAGATTTTTTTGTTACTCTGTGAAAATAAACACTTAAACTCCATTACAACAAGGTGGAAGTGGTTGTGTCGGGAAGTTTTACTGCTGCAAAAAAAAAACAGTAATGCAATCAAAATCAATTCAGATTGTCCAAAGTATCATAACTCTTTGTTGAACAGGGCCTTACCTTTGCCTTCTGGTTTTGAACAGGCACGTACAGTTTAAACTCTGCTGGTAACTCATCCTCAGAGTAAAGTCTGTCTGAGAAATATATCCTCCTTATGCGGCAGTTGGCATGGATCTAGAATAAATGTTATAATAAGACAGTATAATAGTCTTAATGATTTTGCCACAGTATCCAGTGTACATACCTGTACCCTTAGCGTCTCTATGTAGTTGGTTCCGTACGCTCTCCTGGTGAAGTCCGACAGGTTGAACTGAATCTGGTTCCAGCCGTCGTCAAGCCGCATTGGCATCGTGCAGATAAAAGGTTTCACTCTCGTCGTGCTCTGATAGTTACTTGCCCTGAACCTCCGACGAACATTTTTGTCATCTAACACCTGACAAATATGAGAGAAAAAGATGTACAAAAATTAAATTGGTTGCTACTTTAAAAAGTTGTAAGGTGTTTGAGTGTCTCTAAACTGTTGAAGAGCCATACCTGAACTTCAAAGGAAAAATATTTCTTTAGGTTTTTGATAATCATGACCAGAAATGGGAGCTTGATACCCAGTGTCTTCTTTGGGTCAGCAGGGCATGTTATATAAGTAGTACTGCAAGAATACAAAGAGAAATTTGTTATCAAAATATATGGACAACAAACAAATAAAAAAAAAAAAAAACTTATCCTACCTGACATTGGTCCCTTCCACCTCTAGCACCAAGGAGTGGATGTCATTATCTGTTATTCTCTTTATGTGTCCATTTCGCACCTTAAAATGTCAAAAATAGGAAACAAATAGTAAGAAAATTGTGCATATAGCCGCACAGCACTTGTATTCGACTCCATTAGCGCAAAAGCCTCTGTAAAGTTATGATGTCCTTTAGTTTTTTTTATCATTAAGCAAAGTCTTGTTGTGAGTTGCTTAGTAACATGACTGTCTGGCCCACCATGCCCTGTTTTGATGTGGTCCCATTACAACCACAAACAATCTATATTCTGCACTAATCCAATTTCCAAAAGGATTTATATCTACATTTTATCTCCTTAGAACTAGTTAAATATTTTAGCATTACATGTATCATTCAAAAAATAAACACGAGATCTAGCCAACACATTAGCTATAATAATGGATAAAGAACATGATGGAGATTAGAATCATAAAGAATCATACAAGTGGTTAATGTTTTTACAAAATTAATTCACGATCTTTTGCTGTATGTATTTTGTCGAACATAATTTGAAGCTATCCTCCTAAAGTTTTGTTATTAGAACTAACCAAATGTGCACACTGGCAAATTGGTAGCGTTAGATAAAACATGAACGAGCAAAATACGTCCCAAACATGATTGTAATCAGGAGTAACTGATCCTAACCATAGGAGATTATTTTCAAATCAGTAGCTTTAGCTCGTACCAATCGCTAACGATGCTAGGTGTGATTGCAGACATAATCTTACCTTTTTGTCCCAAATCTGAAGAGGTTTACTGCCGATGCTGTATAAAATAGACAAGAATCCACTCTGGAATGTATTTTTAAACATTTTAGCTGAAACACTGCTGTTTAACTAGCGCATGTGTTTTAATAAATGCACTGCGTTTGTTTGATCCATGGTTTGTTTACAGATTCTGTTTCCGCGGTCACCAACGCAACCGCTTCCCCAGGACCATAGACACTAAACACACGTTCCGCCTTTTTTAATACAAAAGTTCCCGCTACATCTAATCAACACCCAACTTTCAGCCGCCACTCGTGGATATATTATCGTATTTATGAACGTCTCTTGTTGAGAAGCAAAGCAACTTAACTATAACACAGGTCGCCCCTTCAGTATTTTGGTGTTGCTAAGTTGCGGTTCCCCCCCGGAACTTTGAAAAGAGCACATCCCGTAACCACGGCAACCGAATGCAGGACGGGCACTAAAGATGTCAGAAAAAGCAGACTGCCAAATTGGGCAAATGACTGTGCAAAAATATATTATATACAAGCATTCAATTAATGTTAAAGTTAAAATTAAACTAAAGTTAAAAGTCTGAAATTATCAGATGGAATTTTCCATTTCATCAATTTAACATTTCTTAGCAAACCATCACCATAATACTAACTTTATACTTAATAAACAAAACAGGCAACTAAGTAGTACAAATTTACAAAAATAAAAAATAAAAAAATGCAGCAAAAGTTTAAACATTGTAAATAATAATAAATATCATGTGTCCTTGTTTCACTGTATAGGCTATCCTTTTATTTTAATGGGTAATAGTTTGCTTCTAAACTGTTGACATCAGACCAGTTGTTTGACATCGACACAGACACCGAAACTCACTCCATAAGGCCCCCACTTGAGCTGTTTATGTCACTGTGCTTTACGGGTGCTGTTTTACTGTAAATACCACTGGTCTGGGCTAATAAAAGTGTTATTGACCAGGTTTTAGAGTAAAAGTGGTCATTAAATAAAAGTGTTCCAACATACTTAGCCTACATAGTTTCCTATGGAGACTACTTGCATATAGGCCTAGAAGTAGCCTATATACTATACACCAGACATGGTTAAATAAACTTCTTTAAAATACTGAGCCATAGCTATATATGTAAATCTGTGCATGTACCCTAAAATGCATGTCTGTTTTTGTGTATCCATAGGCCCCAGCTGATACAAAGATTTAAAGCAAGTATCTAAATAGGCCTGTCCCAGACTTCCACAGAGTGTGCCCCGCCCCAGAAGACTCCTCATCCTTACTCCACTTTCAACTTGACAGTCCATAAGGACACAGCAAATGGAGAGGACATGGTTTGTTAATGGGATTTTGGACAGGCAGCAAATATATTACCTATAAACAAGTAGGCATATTCACCATAAGGTAAGTCTTGCCTTTCTATGTTTCATTGTTTGCCTACATTGAAAACTAATTCCATTTACACACAACTTGATTATATTTCTTTTCATTAGACAATAGTTTGCAAGCCACTCCTTTCAAAGATATTTACTATTACTTGCAAATGTATTGTCTGCAATAGCGTGACATTATTGTTCTTGTCTTCTAAACTTGTTTTTTTTAATTAAACATAGCATATTTTTAGCCACAATTTAGGTCATGTTTTATCCTTCTGTCAGAGCAGTGGTGATGGAGAGTGGAAAGCAGGATGTGTTAGCAGAGAGTCATCTGTCATTTGTAGAGGGACCAGTGGATCAGTGAGATTTTAAGTTGAGCTGCATTAAGAACTAAAATTGTACCAAATTCATAAAAATAAATGAGAAACATGGGCTTTCATGTTCGTTTTATGGTCAGTCTTTTCAAAGACAAGAATGTTTACTAAAGAATGTGTGTTTAAAACAACACATCCAAACTAAAGTACTTTTGTTTATAGCTGTTAATATAAGTGTTGGCACTGAATTGTTTGAGAAAAAGCATGCTGGCCAGTTAAAATTAACAAGGCCTATATTATATTTAATTGTACATACTGATATAAGCCTTTTGCATAGGCCTAAACAGTGTAATGTTTTCTTTTCCTCCCCACAGTTTGGGTCTATTTATAGCTGATTGTATAGACACACATCCAACTGGTCTACCACTTACAGTTTAAAGACCTCTCGTCCTACAGGATGTTTCAAATATATCAAATTTATGGGACACTGCTGGGGGGAGTCAAGTGCAATTACCCAGTTCAGATGGTTTCTACCTGTTTATTTGAATGAATATTTTTTGTTATTTTCACATATCTTTATTTGTTTTCATTGAAGGCAGAACTGTCAATGTAATATCTGGGAAACCAATGGAAAACATCAGCATCTCTTCTCTCGAACAGTCCAACTGCACTACTTGGGACCAGCGTTGGGGGGCGCCATATCTCCACAGATTGGCGCACCTGGACTTGCAGCTGTATTATGACTTCTATGCACTTTGGGTTTCACTTATGGTGAGGAAAAAATACATGATTACACACATTATTTACAGTAAGTTATTTGTCTCCAATCTGAACTCAATTTGGATATTTTGAAGGAAGCCAAAAATAAAAAATAAAAGAAATGGGCTTAAAGTGCAACTGACAGAATTTTATGATTCTTAAATTCTGACTTAATTTGGTGGGTGTTGCAAGTATAAATTATAGTTTTAGACCAATCAAGATGCACTTTGCCAAGAAATGTTGAATAAAATTACAGGAAGTAGAGGGCTCTAAATCATATGGAAGATGTCACTCTGGGATCTAAATGTATGTTACAGCTAACATGTCACATAACATATTTCATATATTTGTATTTGTCAGATTATAATTTCTGAGTTTTGCTAGGTAACATTTATAGAATTCTCTAGCGCGATGTCATAGTTTCAAATCAGGACGTCATATGCACTTTAAGTTAATGGTGCACTATGTAACTTTTCTGGGGCACCTGCTTGTCTTCATGGAGATGTTATTCTTTGCTTTGAATGTTTCACAGGATGACACTGACCTTACCTATCTTCAATCATTCAGTAAAAAATGTTTTATTACAGTGCACATTTAAACCTGAAAACCAAGATGATGGATTATCTTTGTTCTGTATATAATATCTGGTCCGAGTGACAACATCAACTTTAAAGTGCGTATGATAAATGTTTTTGGATTCTCTTTGATTCTCTGTGGAATTATAACTATTGTAAATATTTATATACTTTTGTTTTACTTAAATCAAGAAGCAATATGAGAAGAAAAGTTGAAAAATATGAAATATATGTTTTCTTATATGTGTTTTGTGAGATTTTTTTTGTACATTAGAGGAGTTTTGGACTTCCCTCGTGTGATGTCATGATTTCCAACTAGGAAGTAACATTTTTAATCTAAAAAATGGCCAAATTGGCAAAATGAGTGTGAATGTGTTTGCAAAAAAGTCTTAAAAGTAATTATCTTAACTGTGTTTTAGCAAAATGAGTACTCAAACCTGTCATAGGAGCTTTAAACTGAATAACATGACAAATTAGTTTTAAAGTGTGTATAATTTCCAAATGTAAGTTCCTCATGTCCCTCATCTCTGCAGGTGTGTAACAGTGCGATGCTGATTCTCGGGGTCTCTTTAAACTCTCTGGCCCTGTACATCTTCTGTGGGACATTTGGCCGCTCCTCAGCCTCTGTGGTGTACACTATAAACCTGGCTGTTGCTGACCTGTTGGTGGCGCTGTCCCTGCCCGCTTGTATCGCTCTGTATCACAGTGGAGGCAGCTGTTTGGTCTGTTCTTATATCCACACGTTCAGCTATTTTGTCAACATGTACTGCAGTATCCTATTTTTTACCAGGTTGGTTAAAGGGCCTATTTTACACCATTTTCTGATCTATGTTATAATGTTTCCTCATTGCAAACAACAAACATATCTAGAGTTGTGTTTTGTTTCATTTTCACATCTTTAACACACAAATCCTGCATATTTACACTGTGCTCTTGTCTCAAACTGAAATCACTCTTTTCCATCTTGATGTCGTGAGGTAATACAGGACGCGCTCCACTGTGTTTTTAAACTCCATACACCTTCACTAGAATCATTTAGATGATTTTAGCCCTGGAATTGCTAATCTCTACTAAACAAAAGCTAAAAGGTAGATGCCAACTTGAAAACTACCGCTTCATGACATCAAAGTGGAACAGAGGATTTTGAGCTTTGGAGCTATAAACAGAATCATAACAAACAAGTGTGAATGAAACAAAACACAACTCTGGGTGTATTTTTGAGGAGGTAACAATATTCTAACATGGCTTAAAGCTCACAAAAGTTAATTTAGCAGAATATAGGACCTTTAAAATAACTTAAAACATAAAACTTGTATTTTCATAAATATTTCCTGTACATTTTCAGTATCTGTATAGACCGGTATCTAGCTGTAGTCCATGCGTCCAGTACCCTTCATCGATGGAGGACTGCAGGAGCTGCGCGGATTGTAAGCTGCACTGTGTGGCTCATAGCAATCGTGGTCACCTATTCCTTTCAGGTAAAATGAATACATAGGCTGACGCATGCACACAGGAATTGGCTGCTCCATTTATTAGCCTGCTATAAGGAGCAATAGACAATGGTAAAAAAAATCATAAAGCACACATCGTCAAAGAGTACAGACTATATGTATTTCAAGCTTCTGTACTATACATGTTGCATAAACACAGAAATGTTATTACTTTGCCTAGAATATGTATGACATTTGGGGGGGGGGGCATTCTTTGAGGAGTTCTGTTCTTGTGGAGATGCAGATTCGTAGCTTCCTGGCAGCCTGGTGGGTAGATGGGAGAGACAGTTCAGCATCCTAACAGCCTGGTGGATGAAGCTGTCCAGTGGAGTGGGAACGAAGGCTCTTGTACTCCCAAAGGCCAAAGGGCAGGAGGCTGAACAGATTGTGTAATAGGTGGCTTGCATCACTCACAGGGCATCATTGCATGGCTCTCCTATTATGGTCAGTGCAGCTGGAAAGGATGCTCCCACTGGTTCCTCTGTAGAATCTGGCCATCTTGAATGTGGTCACACTGTGGAATATTATAGACAAAGCAATAACCATGGAGGCAAGCAGGTGGGGGACTCTTCACCAGAAAAGTTACAGCTTCTTTTATCTTATTATCTTATCTAACATTGAATTGGTGTCACTGTACTTAACAATCATTTTATTTACTTGTACAGACCTCAGCTCTTGGGTCCAGCTCCTCCTGTGTACTGCTCCCAGCCTTGTTCTACCTCACTGTCCTGGAGTTCTTGCTCCCCCTGTTGGCCGTAGTGGGATTTACTCTGCGCGTAGCCTGTTTCCTGTCATCCCGGCACAGACACATGTCCCAGAAGAGTCGAGCCAGAAGAACACGCGCTATTAGACTTCTGGCTACTGTCCTGGTGGTCTTCACAGTCTGCTTCACGCCTTTCCACATCCGTCAGATACTGGTCTACTTCCGGGTTCAGGTGGGGGCAGAGTCACCTGAGCACGGAGTGAGGCATATTCTGGCCTATCACATCACAGTCACTCTGAGCAGTCTAAACAGCTGCCTGGACCCCGTAGTGTACTGCTTTGTGACGGACAGCTTCAAAAGGGTGTGGAGGGAGCGGGGCGGAGGGGGCGGCGCCATGTACGGAGGGGCGGGAGAAACAACCGGAAGAGAACCTGACAGAAACTCAGAGAAGAAGTGTTCAGGGACTGCACTGGCCATAATTCACGGTGTGGCTACGATTACACTGACAGGTCAACCACTGTCTGCTGACAACATAGAGCAGAGTGTGTAGGCAACAAAATACAAGCAGACACTGGCTCCAACATTGAAAAGGTGAAGAAGCCCTGATATGAATAACTTAAGACACAGACATGGACTATATAAAGAAGTGGACTAAGTGAGTGTGATGTCACACACTGTGTTCGGCTCCAGTCAAATGAAGCTTATTAAGGCTTGCAGTTATATAGACAAATTTGGAGACAGTTCGATATTAGGAATCGGACTTGATTTAGGGACAAAATAGTGAAATAAAACCACCAGAATCATTTAGAGTGGGTTAATATAAACATTTTAAAATCAAAATGATGAGTCTGACAGCAGCAGTTGTGGAGAGAGGGACAACGTTTTCTCAATACAAATTGGAGCCGAACTCGATGGAGCCGGAAGTGCGCTCACTTCCTATTTGGAACACGGTGCCTAGCGAGTTAGCTATACCCATTTATATATACAGTCTATTGACACAGTTCACATCCTTGACTTTGAACAGCAAATGTGACGAACACAACCACTACACGGTGCCCTTTTAAAGGAATACAAACAATGAACAGTTATGACAAAAGTGTTGGTGCTCCCATCTGCTCCTAAATCCATCCTCCTGCTGTAACAACTGACTCTTATAGCAGATTCCCTTCAACAGAACATTTCACTTTTAATTCTTACAAAGGAAAACAACAACAACAACAACAACAACAACAACAACAAAAACAGCACTATTCTGGACTTCTGGTGAGACCATAAATGTATATATATACTGTATATATAAACTGTTTATGCAGTCTGTGGGTGAGACTTGTATCAGTACATTTTCTTAGCTGACCAAAGTGAATACCAACTTTTGCTGTATATAACACTTATGAATAATGTTATGTTGTCTTAATATGAGCACCTCTACATCAATGTTCAATTTATACTATCTTTGTATTCTAAAATATAAATGTAAATTCTGTTTTATCAGTATAAAACGTTTTTTTTCCAAACCCTGAAAGCAAAATCAGGTCTCTATAAAAACTAGTTTGTATTTGGTCCACTAGGGGTCAGTGTGCTCATCATAGTATTGCCTGCATGTTATGAAGAGTCAGGTGCAGCAGACCAAAATATTTGTACAAAGGTGTTGAACTTTCTCACATATTCAGACTTAAAAAACAAAGTGTTATAGGAGCGTTGCCCCTGTCTGAGTGACCTCTGACCTTCAGTAAAATCAGCCAAAGTCAACAATATCAAGCAGGTGCTGTGTTTTTTCTACATGAAGGCTTTCACAGCGTTCTTTTCTTCTTGAACACAAAGGAGACACATGAGAAACCTGTGCGTAATGTGTTGTGGACATTTCTGTTACATAAACCCATAAGCGACCACTATAATCCCATGGCATGCAGGTTCATGTATAGCTGCAGCCTGAGGCGATAAGTTGTTTTCAGCCTTTCCTGGAGCTTTTAAGCACTTTCTGTTAATCCACAATCATTAACTTTTGGAGGAAGCATGTGTCGGATTATAAATGAAAGCTGTGAAAATGCATAACCATCACTGAAACTGAGATCATGAGCTGTGAAACAATAACACTGCAGGTATGTCAATGTAAACTGATCGAGCAAAGCAGTCTTTGTTTTTTATATTATGCATGCAGATTGCTGGAAGCTATTTAATAATTTTCAGTTTTATTTTGTTTTAACCAGTATAGACTGTACAATACAATAATCCTGTATGTTGCACTCTATTCTGTTTTTTTCTGTGTAGTGCCTTATTCTTTCCTCTAAATGCCATATACCTATTGCTTTCATGTAATAAACAACAGCCACCAAAACAACGTTTCTCTCAGTTCACTAAACTTAGGGTGTTAACCACATCACCTGTGTTTAGTCTGTTTTAAGTCTGTCTGCTCCACCCACTGCAGCTTCAAAATCTACAAGTGTTTGTAGATCTTCCTTGAAGCTAAAGGCTTTAGGCTGTGTTCAACGGTCCATCTACAACTCAAACAAGACAGGTCTGCCATAAAAGTCTCTATGGGCAGATAGACATACATATTTGTATACCCAAATGGTAATAATTTACTTCACTGGCCTGGCTAAAGGTGCACCATATAACTTTTTGGTTGTGGTTGTATCCATCACCTGCTTGTTTCTATGGACATATCATTGCTTTGCCTGGAATGTTCCACAGTATGACATTTAACAGCTCTACCTTACATTTATTAAATTACAAGTAGTTTTAGAGCTCAAAAAATACCTAGAAAAAACTGAACAGGGTCACCTCTCTACTGATCCTGATCTGTAATGTGTTTGATCTCCATAAAGATAAAAGTTTTAATACCATATTGTGAAACATCCCAGACAAAGCAATAACATCTCCATGGAGAAAAGCATTTGATGGACCCTCCAGCAGAAAAGTTACACCATGCACCTTTAAGTTTGACAGGACAAAAGAGATATATTTGAAACTGCTACAAATGCATAATTACCTCTTTATGCAAACTACTACAGAATTATTACAATAACCAATTAGTGAAATGCACAATACACAATTCAAAATAATGTGATTGTATAATTAGCAACACTCAAACAAAACAAAATAGTTAATTAATCATATAAAAAGCAAGCAGCAACCGTGTATCAAACTAAACCACGCCTCATATGCAAATGAACCGTGACGTTACCGGAAGTGGGCGATTCTTGTTTTTTTTTTTTTTTTTTTTTTTTTCTCTCCCGACATCTATTTTTTTAAAGGCGTATTTAAAGCGCTGGCTTCAGATGCGGGAGCAGCTACCGACAAACCTATGCAACAAAAGCCGAGCCGCTGTCCGGAGCTGATCGGACACGAAAACAGACGAGGACCGGGGCTGACACAACGCGGCGAGGTGAGCCTTTACACCCGGGCAGGACACGGGCAGCAGCGGGGTTATGTCAGTGGTCTGGCCGCTGTCGGTCGTCTCCAGGCGGAACAGCATCTCAGGTTGCTGCTGCAGAGGGGGACGGAGGTGCAGAGGAGGAGCGGGGGTCGGCGTTTACAGTACTTTGAACAACGGGCTGTGACAAAAACAAAAAGAGACTGATTCAGCTCCGAGATGCAAGCGACCACGAACTAGTCGCATGGCGTAATTAGCTTAAATTCTAATTATAAAGTGCCTATAATTAGCATAGTTGGCTAAAAGTGCTGCAAAAGCATAAACATTAATGCTTTTAATGGTGCGTTGATGTGTCATCGTATTTTTGCAAATGGGTAGAGCCTGTTTTCTGCATTAATGCACATGTAATTAAACAGAAATAGGCAGATTAGTCATTTTAATCTCCTTTACCAAAATAGTGGTCCATGAAGTAAATAAAGGCAGCATCAACAGGATTACTTTTATTTGTGTTTTTAAATATAGACTTTCAATTGGTCTGCCCCACTATGGAGAAAGGTACAACTTGTTTTGCTGCAACTACACCAGCAAGATTCCTTAAATTGCAGTAATACTTAGTAATGTATTTGTTTATATGTGCTTTTGATGAAGACTACTGCTGCAACTGTATTGGAGAAGGGATCCAATGTGATTTACATTTGTTTTCCACCATGAGGAACGTAAAATGCATGTGCAAATTTTCTCTATTGATTTCATGTCTTCTCTACCCTGAATATACCCCACTGTACACATGTTAGTTTGATTTACTAGCTTCTAACTTTTCTTTTTTGTACTGTCTGTCGGGGCAGGTGCAACTTCAGGACCAGCGACGCAGATTGTAGCTTGGACCAAAACAGCCACGTCTCAACGACATTTATGAAGCTTTTAAGGCCTTTTGGTGAGTCAAAAAACATGCACTGTGACTTTTTAACTTGATTTCTAAAGAAGTTGTCCACAGATGGGCTTTCTCCATTGTGTAAATTGAAAAAAAAGGAAAAAAACATCATTTAAGTCTGCACATGGCTGCTGCAATGTCATGTAATTGTTTGAGTCAGCCCTTAAGGATCTGCAGCAGTGCACAAAAACACAACTGCTCTTAAGCATTATCTCCCCTAAAAATCCTTACTTCATTGTTGATCTTGGCATTTACAGACAAAACAAAGTAACACCCCCACAAATATTTAACAGTTTACATTACACTATACTCTGAGAAAACTAAAATAGCATAAACATTACCCAAACAACATAGGTCAGAATTTTCATATATCAGTTTATAATCACAAACCATGAGTGCGAGACAGAGGAGTACATTCTCCAACAAGCTCCTACAGCTTAATTCTAACAGTGAGAGATACAGGACTACATTCATACCATACTCTATACAGTACAACAATTCACACTTATGTAACAGATAATACTCCCTACAACTGTATAACAACTCACTCTTATGTACGAGATAACCCTGTCATGTCAATCATCATATCATCTTTGCATAGTTTTCCTTACAACCTCTTGTATGTAGCTGAGATATGCTAGTATTTGTATTACTATATGTCTGTATTTTATTTTTACTTACGTACATATACATTCATATAATTATGCCTCATTTGACACCTGTCTTTTGCGATTTTTCCTACTTATTTAGAATGTATTATTACCATTTATATGTTTTTTTCTCTTGTTATTATAATATATTGTGCTGTGTGAGCTACTGTGTCCAGATAATTTCCCTTGTGGATCAATAAAGTTTAAGTCTAAGTCTTAAGTCATGGTCCAAACTAGAATTAACCCAGAATGCCCCAGGACTAAGGTTTTGATCACATCTAAGGGTAAAGGGTCTAAAGGTTTTGTCTGAATTACAGTTGAAACCAGTTTGTATAGCCAGGGTTCAACCAGCCTTGTGCCCCTTTCTGTTTCATGTAAACTGAAGTGAAACTGCTCGACTTCCTCTTGATGAAATAGCTGACTGTCAAATGATGCTGACTAAGCAGAGGGATTTACTGACACACTTGAAAGCAGCACGGCACACAAAGACAGTCACATGCACGCTTCATATGGAGACGTTATGCAAACACATATATGCTTACATGCCAACAATGACATCTGACATATGACACTGTACCAGCTTGTCTCTTTAATGACTGCTTTTAAAATTCTTGCAAAGCTCTTGGATTCAGCTCGTGTTTGGAATCATTTTACGTCTTTGGATTTAGTTCCAGACTTAATTTGTTATTCTTATCATTACTACATTATTATAACATGTAGCTGTCAATATTAACTGCATCTTCTTAATGTTTCTTTTAAAGGATCATTGTGTAACTTTTCCAGTGGAGGGTCCATCAAACACTTTTCTCCACTGAGATGTTATTGCTTTGTCTGGAATATTTCACAAGATGGTATTAAACTTTTCTAGCTTCATGGAGCCCAAAGCAGACCAAGTTACAGGTCAGATTTGTGGAGTGACAACCCTGGGCACAGTCAAAATGCATGTATTTTTCAGTATTTTTGGGCTATAAAACCATCTGTAATTTAATAAATGTAAGGAAGAGCTGTTTAATGTCATACTGTGGAACATTCCAGACAAAGCAATGACATATCCATAGAAACGACAGGTGACGGACCCCCAAACAAAAAGTTCCATAGCGTACCTTTAAAGCCACAGTATGTAAAGTATGTAACTACAGTATTATCCAAACATAGACATAAATAAAAGCATGATTTTAGTTTATTGAGCTGTAAAACATGTGTCTTTATTGTGAGTGTACTTGCATCTCCACAAACCTGACTCCTCTCTGTCTCCATGGTTGTTCCTTTGGCTAAAACCTTCCACAATATGTCATAAAAGTAATCCATATCCATGCTATGACATCCATGTTCTGAAGTATGAAGTAAGATTTCCATTGAATCAAGCAGGTGGCAGGCTGCTTCCACAAAGTTACATACTGCACCTTTAAGGAATCCCTGTAGGTTGTCCAGTTCTTAGTATTATGTTATAGAATAAATAATTAACACTTTTCTTATAGTCTTCCAAGATGCAAGCCTGGGTTATCAAACTTTGATAAATAGAGCAACAACATAGAAGCAGCATTTTGTGTTATTGTGATATTTTATGGAGGCTAACAAAACTGTGAATATGCTACTTTTTCCTTCTAAGACTTTGGTTCTGTCATAATC